TGCTGCCACGTCGGTCTAGAAGAAAGGGACCCCGAGTATAGTGAGGTCGGTTTTCTTTTGTGGCTTGAATTGGAATCTGCTCGGTTTGAGCCGAGTTGCCTTAAGTTCGTCATTAATACAGATTCGACATCCTTTAACTTGGTTTTGTCTTTTAAGCCCGACGTGACCAAGTCGGTGCTCAACAAAAGTCTCATCTTCTAATAAACAATGTCTCTGCTAAATGAAAACCAACAATAAAGACTCGTGTACACAAAAGAGGAATTACAACATTTTGGCCAGAGAATTCCATTTTATGCATTTGCACGACAAACACATATCATGTAAGTGAATTATGCATTTCACGTCTGCTGGAAATCCTAATTCTTTGAAGAATTTCTTGGTCCATGATAAGAAAATGGTAAGAAAATTGTAGGAAAAAACTATTCAAACATGGACCCTTATTTCTGATCATAATAAAATATAAAGAGACATCTACAATTAAGAGTTCCTTATCTATAGCCATCTAACATGATACCAACAGCCAAATTGCCTCACCACTAACTTCTAAGTTCGTCTAACTTACCGTAGTTGGAATAGGAACTTAAAATTAGGAGGCTCTTTCAATTTTTTCAATTTCATAATTTTCATAGATAATGATGTGTGGTTTCTATGTATGATGTTTAGGTGAGTTTTTGTAAAAAATATTATTATTTATTGATGTTTTAGTGTGTTATATATATTGACCAACGACAATTAAAAAGATTACAGAAAGGTCATAGCAGGTTGATAAAAGAAAGCATAAATAATATTATATGACGAATGTACCAACCTATGATGTATATGCACACTGATATCTCCTAGTATACTATACCTTGATGCATTTGTAGCATAGGTTTACTGAAGAAGAGAAAAAGATTCAGAGAAGGGGAGAGTGACTGATCAAAATCGAACGCAAATGTCTTACCTAGAAACACATTGTTGAGTGTAAGGACATGTTAAAAATAAGACCATTGCAAAGACGTGCATTACCAGGCCTTATCTAGAAGGGCAATGATATCTTCAGATTTCTTCAAGGCCATTGAAAAATTGGTAATTAAATAGTGTTGTCAACAAGAAAATATATCACTAATTTTAGTATAGAAAAATTTAAATAAATTTCTTAAACTCTGTTTTAAAGAGTGTGCCAGGATTCTAAACTTCAAGAAACATCATACAACTCATCTAGATACTGACTTAGCAAAAACTAAGTTCTTGTAGTCAATATAATAATATAAAATAGAATAAGACAACAACGTTGACAAATTAAATAAAATAACTTATAATGTTGGAGTCATGACAATTATTTACTTAGATCAGTTAAACCACCTTTTCAATAAGATTTAGGACATCATGGTTATCGATATTTTCTATGTACCTCCATTCAATCTTTTCTCTTGTGTTGTCCTCCTGGTCCATCTAGAGCACATGCCGAAATATGAATTTAAACAATTTTGGCATTTGTTTTCGACATTTACATACTAATGCTAAAAAAATATGAATTGTACCTTATTAAAGTGTTGCTGCAATTTTCATCTGTAAAATTAAGGCAAATTTGCTAAAAAAAATAACCACGAAATATAATCAGTTTGTCCCATCAGTACAAAGAGTTGATTTAACATTACCTGCCAGTTTTATCAACTAATACTTACCAAGATAATTGTCACATTCAAAGGTAAGTGCATCATCACAATAGCTCATAACCATCACCTTCCAGTGCTTCATTTTGGAGCTAAAAAACACACAATCAATCAGTCAATCAATCAATAAGTCGTTCAAATCCCACTAAAAACACACATTTTTCAAAATTTTATTCGCAGTTCCCGACATTCAATTCAAGTAGTAATACACAAAATAATATATTCATCAAACTTATAATTCGGCACGCTATAAAACCAAAGCTTAGAATTAAAAAGGAAAGAAAACAAAATGCCACTTACGTCAATACACCGTAGGATGAAGTCTATATATATATATTTTTTTCCTTATGATGTCTTCTCTTGTCGGGTGGTGGTGGTGGTGGTAACTTAGGTTCATTTCTTTCCTCACCCAAAAGAATTAGTAGTATCAACACCACCATTACAAAAATTGTCGATGTGAACAGCATCAAGTGTGAAGTCTGAGAAGACCATGAACAATAAAACATGCTTCTGTGCACTTTCGACAAACTCAGCCTACAGTAAGTCCGAATAGAGAATTCACCCATCCTTCAGTCATCATTCAGGAAATGAAAAAAGAAACAATTAACTAATTAATTAATAATAAGAGCAAAAGACTCAAAATTGACGAGAACCATGTGTCACAATATCAAATTTGTGTATGATACCATGGCTATGGGTTCATGCGCAAATTGAAAGACAAAAGAAAAACAAGTATCAAAGCCATAAAGTTCAACCCTTCATTTATCTCAGATAACAAAAAGATGATCTCGGTTCTACCTTCTTCTCAAGCGACTGCACCAGGACAATTATGACATGGAAAAGTCGACAATGATTGGCTTCATCCTCGGTTCAATGATGTTCGTCTAGCCGAGAGGCATCTGAGGAGGGAGGGCCGCAGATGAATAGAAGGTTGATGACAACAATCCGTCTGCCTTTAGCACCTGCCGGTCGAGGGACCGCCACAGATCGCCGATCGATGATTCCCTTGCCTCCAGCGACCCTCCTGGTTAGAGCCGTCTTAGGTCGTCATCGGAGGTGACTACACTCTGATGATCAATTCTTACTGTATTTGGGATCCGGCAGCTGCTGAGGACGGTCGGGATATAAAAGCATCTCGGTTAGCGGAGCTCTGAAGCAGTGGCTGTTAAATACTAACAAAAGCTGAAAACCCTGATCTATAGCCTCATTCATGTCTCTTTACAATCACTACACATCAACATCAACATCAACATACCCACTATATTTCCAAACGGGTTGGGGTCTGGGGGTCAGTTGTACGCAGACTTTACCCTTGTAATTATACAAGGAGGCTGTTTCCATAGCGACCCAAGATGCATTGCGTCGTTTGATATATTTTTTTCTAGAAACTTCACTAATAGAATAAGCACTAGAATTTGAATTGAGCCATTTTGATCAAGTCCATTATTAGCACTATGTCAAGAATTGTCAACCATGACTCTTCCAGCTCCATGTACAATGGACATTGCCTCTTTACAATCACTATCCCACCAAAAGCATACAAATATCTCTGACCCTTTTTGTCAAAATGGTACTGCATCTTCATATCTACTACACAAGAAGCACAAATTGAACATAAAGTTACTCTTAATATAAAAATTGAATATATTATACAAATCAATATAGATTCTTCCACGTTTGAAAGTTCTATATAAATTATTGTACAACCAAAACACCTCAAGATAATTTTTTCCAGCGCATCTAAAAAGGCATACGTACTGAATTATAATATGAACATACCTCAAGAGGGCACGCTCGCAGGCAGGATGGCCAAGATCGAGTTGCACGTCATCTTCCCTCAGCCGCCTATTTCGCCGACGAACACCCACTTGAGCATCTCCGGATAGATGATGTTCCGCAACATCCATCGGGTGATTCTTCGTCGAGATCCATCTATCGATCCCAAATACTGTCAACTGGCGCAAGACATGTACACTTGCTGCCAAGCCTTACAAAATACAAACTTGTTCCACTTTTATGTTCACCAACTACCCCACAACCCATTTATGTAACTCTCACAAAATAAAAATAAAAATAAAAATAAATGAAGACATGCAGCTAAATAGTTATCAACATTCACTTTTTTTAATCTAATTAAAGAGGAAGACGAATGCCATGATAATAAACAACACTAATGGGAGAAAAAATGTTACATAGTAGAGTGTATAATCTGATTAAAATTAAATGATAACTGAAATAATTAACTTGGTACTGTGTTTCTAGATGGACAAATGGGTACAGATGAATGTTAAATGCACTTAAGTATACAAACCAATTAGGAGATGTTTTTTTTTTAATCTGAATTTAAACACATTATTTTATGTCTAATCAATGAGACGAATGATTAAAATTTAAATGAAGGGATTACCCATTTGAAGCCACCTCATCATCATCACCACCAGTAGCCATCGTTTAGGAGGCCTTCCGGCGAAGGAGGTGGGAAGGCAGCGAAGGTTGACCTATTAAATGAAGGGATTACCCGTTTGACATATGTTTGCAGCCAGAGTCACCTTATCATCCTCACCACTAGTGGCCACCGTTCCGGAGCCTTTCCGACGAAGGAGGTGGAAAGGCATCGAAGGTTGACCGTAGGTAGGCGCTGAATGTTGATCGTAGAGAGGCGACGCTGATAAAGTTCAGGCAAAAAAGGAAATCCTCTCATCTTCCTTAGATGCGCGAACGTTAGGTAGAGCGAAGAGATATGATGCTCGATTAAGGTTGAGATAGTATAGATGTATGGTGTTCAATTCTTGAAACATGACTCCAAAAACTCTGATCTTTGTACATGCGTACTCAGTGGCAGTGAGAATTGGGAAAGAAGAAGTTTACCTGCTCCCGTCAAATCCCATCCTCGCGTGTGCAGAAATTCCGTACAAAGAAGATAATGGCTGATGAATTCAGTCCACCCGCGTGCAACTGATTCCGGATTAGTCGGTTCCCTTGTGAATTCAGAAACAAGAAGGTTAAAAGAAGCAAGAAAAGACGGAAAAATGAGAGCAACAGTTGTAACAAATGTGCAAATAAAAAAAAAAAATGCCACGTGTCAGGCCTAAGAGTGTCTCACATTAAACATTATGTGGGACGAAACTAGTTACATTGAATGGTCTTGTTGCTCCTTCCAAGTGATGTCTAGATTAGGTGTTGAGATGATTCGAACCTTGGCATGAAAGAAAGGAAGCAATCTTTCTCTCTAAGCTAGCCATCCAGAAAGAACTCAATCAATCGCATCGATTGGTTAAATTATTCGAGAACAAACTCAATCAATCAAATCGACTGGTGTTGGAGTGATTAACTAGTTAATTAGCTATGGAAGGATGCCCCGCCAATGCCTTCAGCTACAACCGTTCGCAGTGCGCCTGCATCCCCGGCTACCTGTTCAACTCCACCACCAACAGCTGCGACCTCTTGCCCGAGCTTGGTCCACCTCTGGAGCTCAGCAGCGGCGTCGACAACTACGATTCACTCCTTTCCTTCCCGGAGACTATTTTCTCCTTCGACTCCATCAGAAAGTTCACTCAGTCTCAGGCGGTGTTTCTCGAGGCCACGCTCGTCATGCTTCTCTGCTGGCTCGGCTTCTGCCTCCTCATGCGCCTCTTCCCCCTCGCCTCCAACGGCCATTCTCCTTGGTTTAAGATTCGGTGGTGGATTAGCCGTCTCGATATCTCCTTCGCCACTCGCCACTGGCTGCACGACCGGAAGCCCCTTGTCAAACGCAAGACTGAGCTAGGCGGCGCTTTCTCCATTGCCAGCTGGATACTCTTTATAGGCTTCTTTGCTGCGTCAGTACTTGTACTAATCTCTCTCTGTTTTGTGTGTGTGTGTGTGTGTGTGTGTGTGTGTGTGTGTCATATACCTATTTTTTTTACTCAGGCAGCTGCTATGCTATTAATTGCCTACAGTTTGCTCTACCAATTTATTTCGAGGACAAATGTCGAGGTGCACAACATCCGAGCTGTAAACGCGCCCGACTTGGCTTCCTTCCTGAATGACTTTGAATTCAACATCACTACAATCTCCAACATGAGCTGTGAGCAGTTGCGTGGTCTTGAAACTGTGGTTTTAGGAAATCCTCTCTTTATTGATCATAGAGTCTATCCACTTTCATTGTTTTCCAATGCTTCGTGTCGCAACACCACCTTAGGACCATCTGTATCTCTTAGGTGCAATAGCTGCCGGCTCTTTAGAGACTTCACCTACGTCTCGTGGCATTTCATTGATATCCCTAATAGTCCAGCTGTTGCCATCGGTTTTCAGTTTAACCTTACTGCAAAGAACCATGGCAGCAACAAGCATTTGAGTTTTGTTAGTGGGTTTTTGAAGAATTCAAGCGAATCTGATGGCAGGCCAGTTACATATAGAGGGGCTATGCCAAATATTCTGAAATTCAACCTGTTTCCTAGATTATACCGCAACTTGCGTGATCTAAAGCTCATCCAACCTCTGTTTCAAGATTTCCTCCCAGGTTCGTATTTCGGGGATGCAAATCAGCTTCGAGCGTCTCTTGAGAGCTCCAGCAATGGGTTAATCAATACGACATTGTGTATCAACTTCCTCTCTTCGTATATTGTTGAGATTGACAATCAAAATATATCAGGGCCCGGTGAGTGATCTCCTAATATATTCGCGCAACCATTTCTTGTATTATATTTGTCTTTTCTGTCTTTTTTTTTTCTCTTCGTATATTGTTGAGATTGACAATCAAAATATACCAGGGCCCGGTGAGTTAGCTCCTAACATATTCGCGCTACCATTTCATATATTATATTTGTTTTCATTATAACGTGTTGAACTATTAATGTTCTCAATTTTGTTAAAAGCTTCTATCCTTCAACTATCCGTTGCATGCTTGTTGGCTCTGAGTTCTTAGTATTAGTGGTCTGGGATTCATTTCATTTGGAGGGAGTTGATGATGCTGGCATTATTACAGTATTGTTGTCAATTTATATGTCAGGGGCTCTAAAAATATAGGAGCAGCAAGGTAGTGGTTTATAGTAGGCATGCTAGGTAGAAAACATCTCAGTTGTGGGCTTTGCACACCTATTATATTAATAAGCATCCATCTTAGGGCTCGATGTATGATTTTTTTGAAAAACTTGATGTTATCAGAACTTATGAGGTTCTAAATTCAGATAGAATGCACAACGATGAACATAGTATTCACGCTTAGTATCTTTCCATTAGTCAATGGTGTAATATGATGTGGCCTTAAGAATTTTGTTGCAATATCGATGCTTGGTCTGTATTTGCAAACAATTTGATAGATTTGATCCTTAGTAAAGCATTATTTCACTATTATCCTTTGTTCTCCATGAACATAGAAGACTTACGAATGTAGGTTTTCAATTATTCATTATTGACTATCTTTAGGAAATAAGTTCCAGTAGAAAAGGCATATTTGAAGAGGGTGTCTTGAAGGGTTGCTTTGTGATTTGTTTCCTTTTTCAGTAACTGTGCATGACAGATTTCATTTGTTCTTGAACTTGTCCTTGCGTGTTGTTTGAGGTAATTGCACTGGTGCTTCAGTGCTTTACGTTCAAATTATTCTGGAGTCAATAATTTGATCTCACTTGCTTTTGCCAAAATGTAGTGAGCTTCCTTGCTGATCTGGGTGGCCTCTACTGCATAAGTATCGGTATATTTTTCTGCTTCTTGGTGCAAGTAAGTTTTCATTTGACACCTACATTTCCGTGTTCCATGCATTCTTCTTCATGTTTTATTTTCTTTCTTTGGTTTGTTTTACATTATGCTTAAACTTGTCTTGTTTATCCTTTACTGATATCTCGTAAAGGTCTAGCATTTTCTTTATGTGGCATACAATTTACGATTTGCTTCCCTTGAATGTATGCTATTGAACTTGAGTATAACAACATATTAATCTGTTTGACTCACAAATCCCATATGATGCTTATATGTATTGCATAATCTTGATTCAGAAATGTGAAGAAGTTCATTAATGTCTTCACCTCCACCTGATCAAATCTGCAATATTATGCCCTTATGAGGGTACCATGAAAGGATAAGCTCGACTATTGAAGCATGGCCATTGGCCAGTGTGGGCATCATAAAATATGTCTAGAGCTTTGGGGGTCAAAGCTAGCTGCTTAGTTTAGCCGAGTATTATGAATTCACAAAACTATTAATATTTTTCCACTTATACAACTTTAGTTATTAAAGTAAATCCTTTCATTAAACTGTAAATATTAATTCACTATATATCTAGTCTAGTGGCAACATCTCATGCTTCGCTATCACATGGCTTTCACTTGTGGATAAACTTGGAATGTATCATAAGTTTTAGTCTAAACCAAATAATCATGAATAAGAATTGGACCTCTTTGGTGACTTATTTCCAAACATAAACATGAGTCATCTAGTTATTTAATTGGTAAGATAGGACTCATGAAATGTGAAACATCGTTACACGCACGTGGAAACTTTAAACATTTTTTTTAAAGAGAAGAACGTTCTTCGCATAATGCAACATGTATGTCCCGTTTATCGCGAAAACTGAAAATTGGCATACTGATGTGTGGATTGGAAGTTTGGGAGTAGAGCCAAACTTTTGGAAGGATCAAACAAGTTGTGAAGAAACAAATTTATTTACTGATCCAGAGTTCTGATTCCATCATGTGAAGTTTAAAGTATTTATTCAATACATTAAACTCTTGAACTAAGCTTTTAAGATTTCCACTGGCTACCTGATATACTAACTTTTCTTATTTACAGTGTGAATACAGAATCAAGAGGCTTCGTAACGAGGACAGGTTAATGATGACAATTAGAAATCGCACAAAAGCCCAAGATCGGTGGGACAAAGTAAAGCTTTCCTTCTGTACTCTGAAATCTGATGAATGTGTGTGTGTGTGTCTGTGTGGGTGGTCTCAGTTGAGATTTTTTTTCATTCCTTTAACTACTTAATCCTTTTATTATAGTTGAGAAAGTATGTGAGGTACACGTGGGGATCTTGTTCATTGGATGACGGCAGAAGTGGGACAGACAACGCATGCTGCTCTGGACTTTTGACCAAACCGTTCCATCAAAGTATGTCATCACGTAGACGACGATTACAGGGATTTGATGGCATCAGTTTTAGCCAAAAGGTCCCCACCACCAATCATAACGTGCCCATAGCTTTTATGCCTCAGCTTTGATATTTTTATCCCATTCTTTAGTTAACCTTCATAAATATTTATTTTCTTTGCGCAGCAGAAAGCTCAACCTCAACCAGAGCACGTTCATTCTCAAGAAGTCAGATCTTGCTTAACTGAAGGTGACAGAGACCAAGAAAACAATCACCTTTCTCAGAATGTAAACCAGTAAGTTCATTCTGTCTGAAGGATTTTTGTTGGGTCACCAATCCTATAACTAAAAAAGTAACACATTTCTCCTCATGTCAAGGTATAAACACAAATGAAAAGAAAAGGAAGGGTGTGATTACGTTTTCCCTCAAATCTGTTGGGGTATCACAACAAGCGCAGCGAACAAAAATACCCCTCCAACGAATATGGCGAACACCACTCCAAAATAAGCCAACACAAATAAAAGACGAGAAATAAAAGAA